CTGACAAGATACTGTACTTTAAAGTGAGGAGTAAAAGATGGACTGAGTGGGGACGGGGGGGGGGGGGCGGGTGGAGACTGACATTATCAAAGGAAGGGAAAACTCATTAACAAGGCCTCCCCTTTGTCTCCTAATTGCTGGAAAGTCTTTACCTGTGTTCCCTCCTTTTGCCCCATAGTGAGGACACATTGGCTCCTCATAACTAGATTGCTTTGCTTTCACATCCCCAAGGGATCTCTTTGTAAGAGGTTTCACTCTTTTGCAAACTTCTCCCTTTAACCCAGCTTGTCCAGCTCCCACCTGACACCCCCAGGCAACTTATTTCCAAGTTGTACTCACCATCTAAGGTTCAAAATGATGCCTCATCACTAGAAATAGCGGCTGGCTTTCATTTGAGCAGCAGGAAGGAAGTGAGGACAGGCATACTGGGAGTGAGAGGCTTGTTAAAAAACTAGATGGGAAAGTTTCAGCAAGCTGCTCTTCTCCACCTTCGGTCTCTGATGAATGGACTCCATGATGGGGTAGGACTAGGTCCCTAAGTCTAAGGGACTTAGGTCTAAGGTCTCTTCCAGCTTTCACATTCTGACTCTATCAATCCACAACCTAAGCAGGTAGGTCTTTCCCAGGACAATTGAATTTCTTTCTGTTAAAAGACTTGGAACCCTTTCCTAATGCCTTGCTTTCTCCAATTATCTTACTTATCTTACAATGTCAAGCACACAGTAGGTACTCAAAAGTTTTGCTGAATGAATGAAAAGAAATCATACGCTAGAAAGCAGATGCCCATTGATTAGGGAATGGCTAAACAAATTGTGGTCCATGAATATAGTGGGGACACTGCAAGAGATAGTGAATATGAAGAATTCATAGAAGCATGGAAAGACATAGGAACTGATGCAGAATAAAATAATTAGAACCAGGGAAACTACATACATACATACACAAATGAAAAGACCATCATCTCCAACCAAACCAAACCAAAGTCTATATAACTTGAGTGACCCAGTTTGGCCTCAAAGAAGAGATGGGAAAATGCAAATACGTCCCATCTCCTTCTATGTGGAGATGGGGGACTATGGTTGTAGATTATTGCATATACTGTCATAGTAGGATAATGTCTTGGTTAATTTTGTGGAACTGGTTTTTAATCTTCTTTATTTTTTGTTGCAAGGAATTAGCCCTGGGGGTGGGGTGGGGGAAGATATATTTGAAAATAAAGGTGATGCAAAAACAAAAGATATTGATAAAAAAATTTTAAAGGAAAAGTAATCATGGAATCATAGAGTTTCAGAGCAGAAAAATACTTAAGAAATTTAGTCCAGTGCCATGCTTGTATGGATGAAGAAACTAAGGCCCAGAGAGGTCTCAACTCAAAGGCTCAATCCAGTGATATCTTGCATTTACAACATATTTTAACTCTTTCCCAACATTTTTTACATTCATCATCCCAATTTATCCTCACAAAATTCTAATAAAATATGCTTTATTATTCTCCCTTTTTTCTATATGAGACTAGGACCATAAACAGTGCAAATTAGTAGCAAAGGCAGGACTAATTCCTAATTCCATTTCCCTTGATAACCACCACATGGCAGATGGTGGAGATTATTTATAATCCTGATTGTGTGGATAGGGAAGCTGAGCCCCCATTGGAAACAGAGCTCAAGCCTTCTACCATCCATTTCTAACTAACCTTTCTCTTACTAATAAGGAATTCTTTCAACCAGGAAGATCTTGTCCTGCAGGAAAGAACACCAGATTGAGTACCAGAAAAGCCAGGTTCTGGTCTAGTTTAGGGAATGATTTGCCCCTAGTAGGAGTATTTGGACAGAAGCTGTGTGATGATTTGTTGGGAATATTGTAGTGGGAGGTTCAAGGTTCAATTAATAGTAGGAAAAAATGACCTATGAGCTGGAAGATTTTGTTATTCTGCAATTCTGTTCTGAAGTCTACTAAACTATCTGGGCCTCAATTCCTTCATCATTAAAATGGGAGTAATAATGCCTTCTCTGTCTAGCACACAGGGTTGTTAGGATCAAATTAGGGAATGTTTTGAAAACTCTTAAAGTGTCAAGGTATTACTCATTAATTTTTTTTTAAATTAGAGTTTTTTTTTTTTAATTAGCATGCATTAAGTCTAGGTTGGCTCTATCCATTCCCTGGGGTACATCTTCTCTCTGCCTTTCCAGAGCTGCCATACCCCTGTTGCTCACAGGAGCTCAGTGTTCTCTAGGGATGATGGGAGAACCGCCTGGCAGGAATCAAAGCCAACATGGAAACCCAGTCTTGGGTCCCACAGGCATCAAGTGACAGTGTGTGGATTGCCTATGAATGGTGTCAGATGTGTGATCCCGCAGCAAGGAGGAGCTGGGCCCTCCTTCCTCGTAGGCTCAAAGCTGCCAAAAATCCAGGTTTCTCCCAAGCTGGCCATTAGCCAGAAGGCCCTGGTCCAGAGCACTACCCCCCTTTGGTAGAAAGCCTTGGCTGCCTCCCCTCCTTCCCAACCCCTCGTCCATTAGAGCTAGTGTTTTCCATCTGAGAATGCCTTCCACTTAGCCTGTATATATCTCCTATATACATAGTGGTTCACATCTTGTCTCCTTCATTAAAATGTGAACTTCCTGAGGGGAAGGACCATGTTTTTGCCCTTATCTGTATTCCCAATGCTCAGCACAATGCCAGGCACAAAGTAAGCACTAAAAAATGCTTGTTGATGGACTGACTGTTGGGAGTGTTCTATCCTTAGGGAATCCTGGACCCTTTGTGGAGGCGCTAGTGCATCCAGGGAGGTTCAGCAATTCTGAGCTAGGAGAAAGGCCAACTCTCTGCCTGACCTGAAAAACTCTACTGGATCACTCTGTGAAACTTTCTTGGATTAAGCACAGCTGATTTCCATTCATTACTGACTCTTTTTTGATGAGCACCCCAGCTACTCCCCACTGTCCTCATCAGGCATATATTTACATACATTAGCATATATTTCCACTTGCCTTTTTTCTGGGGTACCATCATTTAGGTGTCTATTATCTGTTAAGTGACACTTTAAATTCCTCAAAGGCAGGTATGGGGCCATGGGGCCTTGGGGCCATCTTCTTAATTTGTAACTTTGCCATAACTTCTTGCATTGTACAGAGTGGTCTCCTTTTACGTCTACATTTTCACATTTCTCCCACATCTCCTATCTGGAGCCAATCAAATCCCATCTGACCACACCACCTCTTCATCCCCCATTTCTATAATAATGATGATGATGATGATAATCCTAATAATAATATAGCCTTTAAGGTCTGCGAAACACTTTACAAATATTATCTCATTTTATCCTCACAACAACCCTGGGAAGCAGGTGCTATTATTGTCATCCCCATTTTACAAATAAGGAAACTGAGGCACAGAGCAGTTAAATTACTTGCCCAGGATCACACAGGTAGTAAATGTCTAAGGCTGGATTTGAATTCAGGTCTTCCCCCATTCTAAATCTGGCATACTATCCATTATGTCACCTAGACCTGCCTCCAGTTACCAAATTTTCTCTTCTCCAGGCTAAACAACTCCATATCTTCACCTCATGTTCGCATGTTGGTTGGAATAAATGGAATTAAATTAGGTGAGCCAGGCCCACTTTTCAGAGCCACTTCTTTTTCCCAAACACACACCAGTTCTCTGACTTTCTAATTGACCTGTTCCCTCTGTCAGAAGCTTTCTATGTGGCCCCAGCTCTTAAATGGAGGTAGAAAGAAGGAGAGAAGAGAGGGAATTCTATAGCTATAGATAGATATAAAGGGAGAGCAGAGGAGACGAGAGAAGAACAGAGGAGAGGAGAGGAAAGGAGAAAGCAAGGAGGGAAGAAAGAATGACAGGAATGCTGAGAAGAAGAGGAGAAGGACGAGAAATTATGGAGGGAAGCAGGAAGCAGGACACAACTGGCTGGTAGTACTCACGTGTTATGAAGCACACACCAACCACAGTGGGGGTCCCCTGAGCCGAGACACTCACTGCAGCTTCCATACTGACTGCAGGACTCAACAGGAACTCTGGTGAGCTGTGAGAACAAGAAACAAGTGGTTAATAGTCGGGCAAGAGACTCAGTGGTTCGTTCTATGAAATATTTGGCACAATGTGAGACTTTAACCATTCAAAATTAGACCTTTTGATTTTCAGTTTGCTTTTCCCAAAAATTGAGCTAAGAACCCTTGCACTCCTTGTGTCCTAAGGTTTTCATATGAGAAGTACTTTGTAAATCTTTAAGCAATATAGAAATATGAACTGTTATTACTATTTCTAGTAGGAGTAGGAGTGTTCTCTCCTGTGAGCTTTTTGAGAACAGAACTGTATTCTGCCCCTCCCCCCGATTTTTTAAAATTCCTAGCATTTAGCACAGTGCCTGGCACACAGCAGGAACTTAACAAATGTTTATTGACTAAAGGTTGTTATTAGGCTCGGAAGGGACCCTGAAGAACTGTACAATCTAGTTTCCTTCCTTGTTGAATTGAAATGAACTGATAACACTTCTTAAGTCCTGCCCTATTTTCTCTGGTGTGCCTGGGTCAGAGGTCAGAGGATCTCAGGTCATCTTGTGTTTTTTTAACTAAATTTTTTTTTTCAATGAACATGCTTATATTTTTTCTTCCTCTCACCTCTTCTCCAGGGGAAAAGAAAAGAAGAGAAAAATAAAACTCTTAGAACAGATACACACAGCCTTAAAATCCTGACACTTTGCACAAAACATGAATTCTCTCCAGAGCAATAACTCAAGTAGGGTCAACAAGAGTGGGAAATGTAAGGGGTCCTATCAAGTCAGTGGGCGTATAAGTTCTCTTAGTCATTTGTCTCTTGTCCTCTTGAAGCTCTGTGAAGATTTTTAAAAATTATATTTGCATTATTCACATAAACATATATGTTTATATATGTGTTTATCTATATACATGTATGTATATTATTTTCTATATACTATCTATATTTATATCTATTTATAATTGTACATTTATCTATTTATATATGTATATTTTTCCCCACTTCCAAACTAGAAGTACCCTACAAACATTCATTCTGTGACATTCATTTCTTAGAAAGATGATGAACTTGAACTTTTATTTTTCTCCCCTTTATTTTTCTTTTTAGGCAATTGGGGTTAAGTGACTTGCCCAGGGTCACACAGCTAGTAAGTGTCAAGTGTTTGGTCTGAGCTGGATTTGAACTCAGGTCCTCCTGACTTCAGGGCCCGTGCTCTACCCAATTCACCACCTAGCTGCCCCCTTCTCCCTTTTCTTTACCAGAGTCCACTTTACTCTCCCAGCTAATTCCTCTTCTGGTGTCTTTCACCTGTGCTGGCCTTTCTGCTGTCCTACAGAGACTCTTTACATTCAAGGTCATGGTTCTTTGTGCATCCTTTCTGCTTTTCTTTCATCTTAAAAGGTCATTTGGAGTTTATAGCTTTTCTTTTTATTTGTTTTGTGTTTTTGAATACATCCCTTTCCCTCCTCCACCCAGCAAGTCATCCCTTGTCACAAAGAGTAAAAGAGAAAGAGGAAAAAAGGTTTAGTAAGATCAGTGAAGACATCAATCATGCCTGACGGTGTGTACAATATCCCATTCCCATAGTCCTCCACCTCTGCAAAAAAGAGAGGAAGATTCTGCTTTTCTTTTAATAAGGGACCGCAAATTCATTGTTAGTGGCCTTAGCTCACTCACTTTTTTTTGGACTACTGGCTCTAAGGGTCTTCTCTCCAAGATCAGTTTTTGCTGTCTTTCTGGCACACTTCCTTAGATGAGTAGGGTCTGTCTGTCTGATGAAGAATTTGATACTGTCTTTCACTAGGAGCTTGTTATGTAAAATGTCCCACTGACTTTCTCTGTTTGAACCTCACTTTCCAATTTCTTACAGTCTCCTGAAGATTACAGGAGGCAGATTTTGGCTTTACCTAATGAAAAACTGCTTCAAAGCTAGAACCGTCCAGAAATGAAAAGAGCTACCTCAACAGGAAGTGAGTGCCCCATCACTGGAGGTGGTTAAACTAAAGCTGGACGATTATTTCCAAGGGATATTGTGCTGTAACAAGTTATTTCTGTACCTGGGGCCAGTAGCCATGGCTGGGGAGTGGGGAAGGGGTGAGCTCACTTGGGGCACAGCCTTGGAAGTAGGGGGGCAGGTGAAGAGAAAATGTGTTCCCATGCTGGTGAAGGGCAGAAAGTGACCCCAGGATGAATCCGCTACCACTGCCATGGTGGGCATAGGATGAGCAGGGGAGGAAGTGCCCCCAGACAGGACTACTATAAATTTCTCTTCGTGGTTGCCCCACCCTAGTTATAGCTTGAGCGAAGATTCACGCTTTGTGATAGGGGTCAGGGTTCTAAGACTTTGGATTCCCAAGAACCCTGACCTATGCCACAGACATGCAGGAGCAAATGGGGTAGGGCTCATGAAGTGTTGTTGATTCAATTCAATTAAACAAAGATTTATCTGGGATTCAGCTATTGTTAACCTTATGACACAGAGTCATCATTGATCAACCCTTTGATGTGGTTTGTGTCTGAGACCTTGAACAGCATATAGCACAGCTTGATGCACAGGACTTTCCTTGGGGATACATACGACACGGGGGAACAAAAACACAGACAGGCAGGGAAAATCAGACAGGTAACTAGATTCTCCAAAGCTGCGCTGCTCTGCCCCAAAGAGGTCTCACCTGTCTTTCTCAATCTCTCTCCCTCCAAAACATACAGCTCTATTACCACAGTATAATGAGCCAGGTTAAATACAAACCCAGAAGCCTGGGCTCACTCCCTACTTCTGTCTGGTACAATGGAAAGGGCCTTGGCTTTAGAATCAGGGGATCAAGATTCAAATTGACCACCTACCAGTGTGACCTTGGGCAGCTCACAAAGTCTCTGGTCCTTAGTTTCCTCGTCTATAAAATGACAAGGTCACCTCAGATGTTCCTGTGATCTGTGATCTCATTTTCCATGGCTTAGAAACAACTTCAGAATGGGAAAGAAGTTGGCGTCACTGTTGGCTGGTGTCATTGGCAATGGCTGTTGCCTCCCTGCCCTGACCCCACTGTGCTCGTGGTAGATGTTAGACTAGACAACCTTTGAGCTGTTTACCTTCCAGCTCAGGGATTTGAGAGTGTTTTTAGCATTCTCATCCTTGAATCTATGCACATCTATTTTATGGATACAGATCCTTTTTGAAATTTCTTTGTCTTTTTTTTCCTGGTGTTTTATTATCCTCTATCTTTATTGTGTCTTTTTAAAAAGTTGTTGAGCTGTTTCAGTTGTGTTTGACTCTTCCTCGACCCCATCTGGGATTTTCTTGGCAGAGATACCAGAGTAGTTTGCCATTTCCTTCTCCAGCTCATTTTACAGATGAGGAAACTGAGGCAAACAAGGTTAAGTGACTTGTCCAGGGTCACACACACACAGCTAGTAAGTGTCTGTGGCCAACTTCGAACTCAAGTTCTCCTGACTGTCTAGGCCTGGCACACTATCCCCAGTGCCATCTTTTAAAAAGTAGTTCCTTTCCATTTTTTGGTATACTTTTTGTTTTTCAGAACCTCTTTCCTACCAATCTGTCCTCACAGGCAGCCCATGCCTTCCACTGCCCCATTCTTGTCCTCTTTTGCCTTCTTAATATTGGAACTTGAAAAACAATGAACCACAAAATAATTCTCTATTGATCATCTCTACCACTTCCTTCCACCATGGGCAGATATGTATCTGTCTTCAGACATGAGCTGTCTTCTGACATATTAATTCATCCCTGCTCAGTTCCTTAATGGTGGGAGTCTTATATACCCAATGTATAGGAAAGTTAGAACCAGAAGTTGATTGATAACATTTGCTATCCTTTTATCACCCAAGAATTGAATTTTGGAGCAGGAAGGGTCTCACAGATCATCTAGTCTAGGCCAACTCCTGAGTTCATGGATAGAGAAACCGAGAACCATAGGTTAAGGGCCTCACCCAGGTCACAGAGTCATTTAGTTCACAGCAGAACCAGAGCCAGCATTCAGGTCTCTTGACTCTAACAAACTTTCTTTTCTAAGAATAATTTCCAAATCCCTAAATCATTTACTTTTTCTCTTCTTTTGTTTTAGTGTTCATATTGCTTTTTGCACCTGTTTTCTCTCCAAAACATGTACTGAGGATTCTCACCAGTCTATCCTCCACTTTTCTGCCCCTTCTCGCCATCATTGTAGCATTACACAGTATTGGGCTGGCTCTGCCTCTGTCTCCTCCTGGTGCACTGTTTGATACTTGAAATGTTCCCTTCCCTTTTCCTCATGTTACTGCCCCTTCTCAGCAGCGCTGTGATGGAGCTCTGGTTATGCACCACTAGTCATTTTTTTCTTTCTAATTTTGATGTGCGTCTTAAGATTGAAAGCATTGTATAGTGGAAAGGGCTCTGGATCAGTGTGGTAGATTGGAAACAATGGTGGATTTGGATTCGGACAAGGGCTCTTGCCCCTTAATACCTGTGTGACCCAGGGCAAGGTGTTTCATCTCTCTGGGCCTCAGTTTCCTCATTTGTAAAGATGATTAATTAGATGGCCTTTAGGGTCCTTTTAACACTATAGGCAGCTAGGTAGTGCAGTGGATAAAGCACTTGGCTTGGAGTCAGAAAGATGAGTTCAAACCCAGTCTCAGACCCTTACTAGGTGGATGATTCTAGGCTAGTCATTTAGCTTCTGTTTGCCTCAGTTTCTGCAACTATAAAATGGGAATAATAATAGCACCTACCTCCCAGGGTTGTTGTGAGGATCAAATGAGTTAATATTTGTAAAGCACCTAGCACAGTTCCTGGCACACAATAGGCACTTAATAAATGCTTGTTTCTGGGGCAGTTAGGTGGCGCAGTGGATACAGCACTGGCCCTGAAGTCAGGAGGACCTGAGTTCCCATCCGGCCTCAGACCAAACACTTGACACTTACTAGCTGTGTGACCCTGGGCAAGTCACTTAACCCCAATTGCCTCATAAAAATAAATAAATAAATAAATGCTTGTTTCCCACCTTCCTACAACCCTATGACCTTGGTTAAGTT